TCGTTTACGCACCCAAAAAACTACTTGGTTCTTTTGATAGCTCGTAAATCAGAAGACTTTATTAATCCTGATCAATTGTATTTATTGGCGATCTCGTGGTATCGAAATAATACCGAGACGTGCCAAAGAGTACAGGCGAACAGGCAGTGCGTGAGCAAGTTCGAACCAAACAAGGCGGAGAGCGAAAGCAGAAGTGAAACTGATACAGTTAAACAAATACAGTAAAACAATCTCTGGTACAATTGGTTACAATAATAATAATTGTTTCCGTTATTCCAATCGTGTTCTTATCGAGACTGGCCGGTCACTACAAGACAAACTGATCAACAGCTCTTCTGCTTATTGGTTTCTAGAAACAAATATTTACAGTATGAGATGGCCCTTAGAGAATACTCGATTTTTCGTAAAGAACTCAAATTACAGTCTCATTCTCCAATCTTAGATGGAAAGGAAAAAACCTTAATAACTTTTATCGGTCCTCGTGTTTTGCGCTACTATAAAGATCAAACTTGGCCTCCAGCGTACCAAAAAGTATTGATATTATATGTTTTGGTAAAGAAGCGTGGTAATTTGCTACTCGAGGCCAAAAACAAAACTCCATATATATATATATACGAATTTGTCTAGATTTTTAGGATTTCTGTGAATCCCCTCTCAAATTAGATCGGTTCGCTAAGTTTCATTTAGGTTTTTGTAGCTCAGTATCCGGCTTCGTTTTCATCGTAGACATTAATTCTCCATTTAACTCTGTATATCATATAAGTAAACCCCGTTTATGTGGTGGCGCTAATAAGAAGATAAATAAGGTTTACATTGAAGGAATTTATTTCAAGCACTCTCTCATTCAGACATACATTCGGAATAAGAAGCGGAAGGCGAAGGATGTGGAGAAGGAGAGGTAGCTAACTCGATTTGATCAAGAGTGACTCGACATTTATGGTAAGACAAAACTAAGTTACAAATACGTGAGGAATGAAATGAGCAATTAACACACACGCTCATATAAAAATATTAAAGGGTAATAAGCAAACAATTGACAGGGTCAAAACACGACATCAACACGACATCAACACGTCATCGTTGGACTCACGTCCTGAGCATCAGGCAACTCCGCTCAAGTCCATACGTAAGGAAATAATTAATACTGTTGTGGATGGAAATAGTCTAACTTCACCAAATGTTGTTGGGAGTAATTCGCTTGACCCACATGACACTGTCATAAAGAAAGCTAATAGCAAGAAGCCGGTAGCTAACCGGCAGGATCTGACATCACGGTCAAAGGCCGTGAACACGACGTTTAAGGCAGTTAAACAGGTGCCTAGTGTAATCATCTGGAACTTGGCAGAATCGAAAGACACTGATCCCGCTAAGAGACATGCCCACGACCTGCAGTTAGTCGGATCTCTCATCAGAAATATACTGCCAGAGGAGGTCCCAGGGGTACATATCTCGAAAGTCATCAGACTTGGTAAGTATGTTGGAGACGAAACCCAACAGAGAAGGATCCTCAAATTAGTACTCGGTAATTTTGAGGAACGGGACGTATTACTAAATAACTCACGCAAAACTCGTGACTCAAACATTCGTATTCGACCTGACTGGCCACTTGAGGATCGGATCAAGTGGAAGAATGCCCTAACAGAGTTAAAAACTCGAAGGCTAAACGGTGAAGCGAACCTTACGATTAAGGGTTTTCGGGTAGTCAGGTCTTGGAAGCCAATGCTTCCGAGACCTGTGTGGGTAGAACGCATGTCTCCAAAAACACCCTAAATGTGTGTTATACGAATGCTCGTAGTCTTCGGAATAAGATGTCTGAACTAAGTTTGATGGTAGACGACTTAAATCCCGATATAATTGTTATCACCGAAACTTGGCTCACTGTAGATATAGACTGTTCTCCAGTCATTTCAGGCTACATCTGTGTCAGAAGTGATAGAGTTAGAAGTCGCAAGGGAGGAGGCATAATATTATATATTAGGGACCACTTCCGCATTAACTCGATCATATCGGAGGCGCATGTAAGTGGTACGTGTGAGGTAGTATGTTGTACAATTAGGTCTAGAAACGGGTTAGTGACGATAGGAGGAATATATCGTAGTCCGTGTTGTCTCGCTGACGACTTTATCCTAAAACACGTCTGTTCTTGGAGTGAAGCAGAATGTTGTCTCATCGTTGGAGATTTCAATGCACCCCATATAAACTGGATAGAGCTCACAGCTCCAGGTGGGGGTTTCGATAGCGTCCTTCTGTCATCAATTATTCAATGTGCACTTGTACAATGTATCGTTAAGCCAACACATATAGACTTGGAACATAATCCGTCATTGATAGACCTTGTCCTCACACACCACTCTGAAGATATCGTTGACATTCAACATCTTCCCCCACTGGTGAATAGTGACCATGTCGTACTTTCCTTTAAGTTCCGGATACATGGTATAGAATTTGCATCAGCTCCACCCCGTCCTAATATCTGGAGAGCTAATATTCCGGCAATCAGGGACTATGCTATCTCAATTGACTGGTCGGTCGATGCTGATGGATCGATTGATGATGCATGGAATAGGTTTAAGTCTGCGTTCGAATCCGTAACTCAGCCGTTTATCCCATGGTCAGCACGTAAGTTATCATATTGCCCTCCATGGATTAATAAGGAAACCCGGAAGCTGTTGAAGCGTAGGAAACACTTCTGGGACTTATTCTTGTCAACAGGTCAGGCATCATTTAAGTGCGAATATAAAAAAATCCGGAATATATGTAAAAAGACCATAGCTAAATCCCGCACGGCTTACGAACGACAGTTGGCATACGATAGCCGTACCTGTCCGAAGCGCCTGTTTTCGTACGTTGAAAGGCGGACGAAACGTAGTGATGGCATCCCCTCATTACTGTTAAGCGAAAATTCAGCTTTATTGGCTGAATCTGATCTGGCGAAAGCGGAGTTATCTGCTAACTATTTCAGTGAAGTCTACTCTACGTGTAGTGTTACAACTACTTGTCCCGTTGACAATGATATACCAGCCATAGGACCCTTACACGTGACAGAGGATATAGTTCTTCCTTTGATAACTAACCTAAAACCTTGTAAGATACCGGGCCCCGATGGGTTACACCCACGTTTGCTGTCGTCGCTTGCGGACATTATCTCAAGACCGCTCACGATGCTCTTCAACATGTCCCTTTCACAGGCTCAACTACCTAGAGACTGGAAAGATGCCATAGTTAGTCCAATATTTAAGGATGGTCAGAGACGGATAGTATCTAACTACCGGCCTGTTAGCCTGACCAGTATAGTAGTTAAGTTACTTGAAAAATTAATTCGGGCTAAGCTACTGAGCCACATAGATTCGTACAATCTGTTAACTCCCGAGCAACATGGGTTTCGTAACAAGCATTCATGTTTGACTAACTTACTCATTGCGAGAGAGGATTGGACAGCTGCACTAGACAACGGCCAGTCTGTCGACGTGATATTTATAGATTTTAGCAAAGCGTTTGATAAGGTTTCACACTTAGGTCTTATGCAAAAGCTCTCAAGCTTTGGTATGACAGGTGCTATACAGCAATGGATAGGAAGCTTCTTATGTGACCGCAGACAGAGAGTGAGAGTCAATAGAACTCTATCCGAATGGAAACCGGTCAAAAGTGGTGTACCCCAAGGCACCATCTTGGGCCCTTTACTTTTCCTTCTGTATATTAATGAACTACCTTTATTACTGAAGTCGTCGACGTTATTGTTTGCGGATGATGTTAAAATCTGGAGAACAATAAGAAATGAGATTGATCGTTGTTATCTACAAGCAGATTTAGACGAATTAGTTAGGTGGGCTCATGATTGGGGCCTGGAAGTTAATTTCAGGAAGAGCGTGTTCATGCACATCGGGCACGATATTAGTTACCACTATACCATTAATGGTACATCTCTGCCACGCGTTCATACGCATAAAGACTTAGGAGTAATTATAAGTCACGACTTAAAAACTACTACGCACTGCAGTGCGGTTGCTTCCAAAGGCTATCGCGCGCTATGGTCGCTTCGCAGAGCATTTAAATGCTTTGACGAGGATATGTTTCGAATTTTATATCCCACCTATGTAAGGCCACACTTAGAATACTGTATCCAAGCAGCTAGCCCTTGTCTGATAAAGGATACTAAATCGCTTGAGCGTGTCCAGCGTGTAGGGACAAAATTAGTAAAGGGTCTTTCCAAACTCCCTTACGATTAGCGTTTAAAACGTATAAATCTTTTCCCCTTATCTTATCGTAGGACGCGAGGTGACCTTATACTGGCATTTCGTATCTTTAATTATGATCTGGGTGTTAATATGTCTTACCTTTTTGCTCCCTCCAGCACTAATAATCTCCGGGGTCATAGCAAGAAGGTTCTGAAACCGCGATCTAATAAACTAAAGGTGGGGTCCCGTTTTTCTCATCGAGTGGTCAATGACTGGAACGCTTTACCAGAACAAGTGGTATCAGCACCATCAGTGAACATTTTCAAAAAGAAGCTGGACCTTCACTGGAAGGAAATCTGTCAGGATTAACACAGGTTCATCAACCTACTATCCTTATTACTGAAGACTGAAGACTGAAGACTGAAAAGAACGAGTAAATCGGTCAGTCGGGAAGTTAGAATAACCCATATAGGCTTAACATGGTACTAGACACGACAAGTTCCTCCTCGTCTTTATATAACTAGATCCCTACCTGAATGCGTTAAATTTCCGTTCATACCACACACACAAGCTCATTAAGCAAAGACTTCTTATATTCAGTATAAAAACATTTTAAATACATTGTGATAAAAGCGACTTTCGGGCTCTAGATCTCTTCCGCTGTTTCATCTTCCAGGTTTTTCGAGCAATCGTTGCAAAATTTATGTCTCTTCACACCAAGTAGCTATCTACTATAGTTTCGATGCAGATTACAAAGGAAATCAGTCAAATACTTTTGCCGACTAAACATTGAGAATTGAAAGTTAGCTCGTTGTTAGCCTTTTCGGCGCCCTTGAATTCGTCGAGATTATCACGCGTTCGTAACCATGACCCAAGGTTTTGTTAGTAATGTTCCTAGTGGTTCTAACGCTAAAGCCAAGGAAGGTCAGTATGAGGATAAAGGGAAACCTGCTGCCATCAGGTCAAGCAACATAGTTGCTGCAAAAGGTATATCGTAGTTACATGTTAAGTATTTTCAGCTGTCGCCGACGCAATTCGTACTAGCCTGGGACCCAAAGGAATGGATAAGATGGTAAGAAAATTTAATATTTTGATTTTTGTGAAGATACAAGAGGCCAAAGGTGATGTCACAATCACTAATGATGGAGCCACGATTTTGAAACAAATGAAGCTTCTTCACCCTGCAGCCAAAATGGTAATTAGTGGTTAAAAATGTGATTTGTTAGTTGGTAGAATTATCAAAAGCTCAAGACATCGAGGCAGGTGATGGTACCACTTCCGTAGTCGTTCTAGCAGGAAGTCTTCTCGATGCTTGCTCGAAACTGCTAGATAAAGGTATCCACCCAACCTCCATCTCAGATGCTTTCCAAAAGGCTGCACTAAAGGCTTGTGATATTTTGGAGGGCATGTCTGTCCCTGTAGATCTGGGTAACAACGAAGAACTTATCAAGGTGGCTACAACCTCACTTAATTCCAAAGTCGTGTCACAACACTCGGATTGCTTAGCACCCATAGCCGTAAAATCTGTCTTGAGTGTTATAGACCCAGCCTATCCTAACTCCGTCTCCCTCGATGATATTCGTGTCGTGAAGAAACTTGGGTAAGCCGTGTTTTTACAAACTTTTAAATGAAGTATTTGACTGGAAATATATGTACAGCCTCAAGAATAGGTTTGTAACACATGGGCTTAATACACCCAGTTATTTGGCTGGAAATCCTGTCCTGCTAAGTGATTGCACTTTTTCGCACGTATTCTTTAGTGGACAACTACAGATCATTGCGTTCATATTTTTTAGTTGTTTACACTAAAATAATGAATTTGTAATACAACTGGTAATACTACCAATTGTTTCAACATTCCTGATGGCTCAAAGTTATGCACATGAACCTTTTCATGTGTGTAAACTCATACTCGATATCTCTCAGAAATGACAATATGAACGGCTGTACTAAAGAATTTAACTCATACTTTATTGTTTTGTTATTTACACCCGTATAAGTCAAAAGTTGGCATAACAAACTGATTAAATCTGTGCTCTTATATTCAACCTAGTGCTGTACAGTATGAAATGTGATACTGATCAACAAGACTTCGTTATCCCCCACTGTAACAATAAATTGATGGTTCATACTCACTTGGTCATAGAGTCCACCTACTTTGATCTTGGTACATGGTTGCACTAAAATCACCCAATTGTTCTGTTACATTATCTTAAAACTGCACGGCGTCTATCGCCGTGGCTTCTCTACCAAGATTTCGATATCTGAAGAGTTATAATATGATAGTTTTTTTATGTTCAGTTACGGCTAGTATTTTCTGGTTGGCTACAAAAGTATTGATTGATTTCATCAATTTCTTTTTTAATATTTTACTCTAAATAATAGAGGCACAGTCGAAGACACCAAATTAGTCGACGGTCTTATACTCAACCAACGTGCTGAGTCTGCTTGTGGCGTTAAAAGAGTAGAGAAAGCGAAAATAGCTCTTATTCAGTTTTGTATTTCTCCTCCAAAAACAGATGTAAGTTGTCTTAACATGCAAAATATCTCTGACCTCAGATGGAAAATAATGTCGTCATTACAGATTATACGCAGATGGATAGAATTATGAAAGAAGAAAGACAATATATTCTCAACATCATCAAAGCTGTTAAAAAGGCTGGGTGTAATGTTTTGTTGATTCAGAAAAGTATTTTGCGAGATGCTGTAAATGAATTAGCTCTCCATTACTTTAATAAAATGAAGATTATGGTTGTCAAGGATATCGAGCGAACAGAAGTAGAATTTATATGCAAGGTGAGCTGGTTCTGTTTTGAATTAGGAAAATTATGGTTCATTGGTTCTTTATTGCTTCTTTAAGTTATATGCAAAGAAGTTGATCAGTGTACTCGGGTTTGGAATCCAGATGATTTCTTTTAACTTGCTTTCCTCTAATCATTCTATTTATAACCAAGTTAGCTAACAATCTGAGGTTTTCAAATAGAAAATTACTCAATTCCCAATAAATTATTTTAAGGTGTATTTGTCTAAGCTGTATGTAGATCGATAAAATTCAACAGTCCACAATGGTTATTAACGTTTGTAAAAGTATCTCTAGAAGAATTTTTGTGCAACATTTTTTCATGCTTTTCTGATAGACACTGCATTGCATACCAATAGCAAGTCTAGACCATTTCAATCCAGAATATATGGGATCTGCAAGTTTAGTTGAAGAATCGGAGGCAACCGCCCATTGTGTTCACATCACAGGTATTGAGAACAGGGGAAGGACAATGTCAATTTTGGTCCGGGGTTCCAATAAACTTATGTTGGACGAAGCTGAACGTTCATTGCATGATGCCCTTTGTGTTATTCGGTGTTTAGTAAAAAAGAGGTACGTTAATAACTTTTTTGTCTTGTGAAAGTCATTTCTATCAGGTCAAATTATATATCATGAAGCCCTCAATTTATGCTCTGTATAGTAGTCTAAGTTAATCTTAAATCCGTAATTCATTTATATAATTCTTAGTGTTTCAAAATTCACTTAAAAGGTACTCTTGGAAACAATCATTTGTTCCTCTCGTAACAAAAAATTACTCTAAATTTGAAACTTCATAATTGCAACTGTCTGCAATTTTAACTTTTCCATCCATATTTCTAGAGCTATGATCTCAGGTGGTGGTGCACCAGAAATCGAAATTGCCCAAAAGTTAGCTGCATTCGCTAACACTACACCTGGTCTTGATCAGTATTGTTTCCGTGCTTTTGCTGATGCATTTGAAGTTATTCCGTATACATTAGCAGAAAATGCTGGTTTGAGTCCTATACAAACTGTCACTGAACTACGAGCTTTACATGCTAAAGGAGAGAAAAATGCTGGCATCAATGTTCGAACGGTAATTGACTTTATTTTTACTTAAATACCGACTTGGATCTTTAATTAAAGTTCTTTCGGTCGTGTAAATTACTGGTAAAATATCCCGTTAAAATTTAAAATTGTCTAGATGTTGTAATCATCGAATCCTTCCTGTTTGAATTTTAATAAATTTAATACGACTTGGTAACCAAGTGCAGATTCATGTACTCAAGGTTGAGTCGTTTTTACTTAATACTAATCTAGTGTTCCTAACTGAAGCAGACGAAATGTGGTTTGAACTTGCAAACCAATGATTGGAAAACAAGTGTTCCAACCGTTATGCCATCAATTGTAAAGTCAGTATGTATTTCCACTTAATCGTATTTTGTGGTGGAATCCTATTTAACTGCGTACATCCTACTTGACAACATATTCACAGACTGTTGTCGCTATAAAAAGATCATCTAGCCCTGTATAACTACTTTCCCTAGAGTAAGTCTACTTACAATACAACTGCATTCCACCCTCCAATAAATTGAATGGATTTGTTACTCACCATCATAAAATGAACAAAATTTCAAAATATTAGCGTGATATTCACTACTTACTGTGCTCAGACGTAAACTTCCCATATTCCAGATCAGTTGCCACTTCTTTTGAATGTCTTTGATTTAAATATTCAGTTAGAGTTCATAAAAGCTTGGATTTAAACATACTAGTTACTCATTTTTTCACCTTGGTTGACTCAAGGCATCAATGATCTAAATCCATGTCAAGAAAATAACAATTTCTATCATTAATGTTCAACAGCTGAGTTACCAGCCAGTCACAAATGTCCATCATCTCAAGTTGTAACACAATGTTTACCATGTATGAATTGATATATTAGTTTAGGTTACCATATAAACGTAATTTAAATTATCCAAAAGTCAAATTTAAAAACCTCTAAAAGTATGCTATACTATAAAATATTTTGTTTTGGTTATTCCCAATGGTAGGTATCTGTGCTACACTTATCTAATTAATGCTCATTTCATATTTTTATGAAATTCGTAGAAATTGTTTTCGTTACCAACGTCCACCATTTTCCTACTTATTATTTAGTTTTTCCTCATTCAACTTAGTATTCTTATTAGTAGTGGCTCATCACCTTTCATGATCCTTAGTTAATGTCACCCTATTGTGAATTTAGGGCGCTGTCGTGGATATTTTGGCACAAAACGTGATTCAACCTATGTTGGTCAGTTACAGCGCTGTTACTTTAGCTACAGAGACTGTACGTAGTATCCTCAAGATAGATGATGTGGTAAGTTATTTATCCCATTAATATCTCTTGAATTTAAACTTCTGTTAACTAGCTCTTTATAACCTGTTAAGTAAGTAGTTGATTCACGTAATTGATGATCTAGGTCTATTAAAACAATACACAGTCGTATCATGTATGCATAATAAAATGTAATTACTTACCAAATATCGTATTCCTTAATTTAGCTTGAGAAAATTCTTTTAATCCGGATATTCTCTGTCAGTTCTATGTGACAGTCGTGTTTACGTATCTTGATGATCCATTCGAGTTAAACTGACCTCAACACTTATTTCTTTAGGTCCCACTGCGCTTGAAAGATTTGTTAGAGAACACTAAAACGATGAAACTAACAAAAGTAATGGTACCTTTCTAAAGAAAAGAGGCAGTTGGAACAGGTTCCTCCTAAAAGTACTACACCTTACCTCATGTATTTCCCCAATAGTTAAGGCCTTGAAAATACGGAGTTAACACATCTATAACTCCACAAAACAACCATGGTTGACTGTTCTTAAACATTTGTTCAATGGGCTCCAGGTCTTCAAAACCACCCTTAACCCAGTTTCCTTTTCAACTACCTCGAGAAAAAGTATGTCTCCTCTGTGTGCGAAACGAGAGAGGTGACAAATATCCTTACACCTACAACAGCTGTGATTTAAGTATCCTTCTGGCCAGTCAGTCAGTCGTGTAACGTAAAACCTGGTATATAAGTACATCGGTCCAGGTTGCCGCGCCAGTTTGTTTTTGATTCAGGGAATTAAGTGATATTTATCATCATGTAGTGCGTTTAATTCATCTTGTATATAATAGATGATACATTTGAGATAAATATCATTTTCAAAAGTTATTGTTGGGTTTTCAATGAGAAGTGCAGCTTTTCTATGGTAAAAGACATTCCTCTTAATAAAGTTTCATCATTCTACCTTCTTTTTACAGATCAATGCAATCAGGAACTAAGCAAGTTTGCATTGCTCCTATACTAAAAATGTGAAACTTGTTATTGTTTTCATGAAATATAACGTTTTATCGAATTCAATGGTTATTTTCATATCTAGTCCAAAACTTTAAATAATTGAGACCTTTATATGTGTTACATGTCTTAACATATTCCTAGTGAAGTTTACTAAATATGCAGTATTGTAATTACACTGATGTTTAGTTTCAACTATGAAAGCTCTTTTTCGATTTCAATTTGATAGCCACAGAATAACTACGCTTATAAAAATATAATCTCAAATTCAATCTACAAATCATCTTAATGTAAAATGATCAGCATTGACCTCTACTTGACAAAAACAGTATGATTGCAATGAATTATTTTTTATCAGTTCACGTTTATGTAACCAGACTCATATTCAAAAGCTTTTTCACAAGTAACAATTAATTGCTTGTTACCAATAGAGCCAGTTATAAATCAGTTGAGTGAGACTTGGTATTATTTCTGCTTTATTATTCGCTTTCAGATAGACGGTTAAGTATTCTATAAGCACTGGAGCGATTATGATCGATTTCTCTAATCACATCTTAAACTTCAAAAAAACACCCACTCATCTTACTATCAGTGATGGTAAGCAACTAATGTTACAAGTCGAACTAAATAGGCCCAGATACACTGAGTAAATTGAGCAGCTTCCTAACTAACGTATGATTCAATTACCAATGATACCCATAAAACTTATAAAATATCTTATAGTAGTACCAAACCTAAAGTATATTTTGATTGCTTTTGCAGATGATCTAGCCAAAGTTATCCAAGAGTATATTTCATTGTAGAAAACACAAAATATTGAGATTTATATTTTCAGTGGCGTGTACATATACTGAAATGTTTCTATGGTTTACTTCCTATCTATTCACAGAATTGTGCCACGTAGACATGAACATATCGTATGCAGTGAAAGTAGCGAATCCTTCACATAATGACTACATCATAAAAATTTATTGACTGATATTTTAGACTAAATTTTAGCAATTATTAGACTACAAAACTTTTAGTCTTACAAATTTTAATTCACAATAAAAAGAAAGAACAATTTTCAACTGTTAAATATACTAAATTGAATAGTTGGGACGTCTAGTGTTTTGTGCAAACTTGTCCGGTATCTCAGTCAGTTACAATGTAGAACTTCGTACGTACGTACATCAGTTCGAGTTGCCATACTACATTAGCACAGAGATGAAGTTGTCGATTCAAATCCCATATTGGTAGAAGTAGTAAGAGTATAAGTATTATGTGAAAGATAAGGGTTTGAAGATGTTATTCAAGGAGTTTAATCAAGTGAAATAAATTTGGAAAGAGAAAAAGGATAGAGACATGAAGAATTCAGAAGATTATAATTTGGTAGAACACAAACAGTGGATCCACCTTCGCCATTGCAAACGATTTTGAGCCATGTCATTCAAGGTCTCTAACCATCGGTTGCTATCATCTCGCGAATCCCAACCAAGTAGCCTACACCTACTAACACGGCCCAGTCCACTTGTCAGCGAATTCATCGATTTATGCCATGTCTTGGTCTGGGCGCCCCTATCTTTCTTCCAACCTGCTCCTACACCATAAAGCGTTGCACGTCGGGGCAGTCGGTGGTTGGGCATACGTAACACATGTCCCAGCCATCTCAACTGATGAAGTTTCACTACTTCATCAATCGATTTGCCATCCTTACCTAGTACCCGTTTCCTAACATCTGCATTACTTACCCGGTGGTCCCAGGATATACGAGCAATGCGTCGAAGACACCTATGATCGAATACTAGTAGCCTACGAATATCCTCTACTTTTATCGGCCATGTTTCACTGCCATAAAGTAGGACGGAACAAACTGCTGCACAGTAAACCCGTCCTTTTGTTGCTAGACGGATTTCTCGCCTACGCCATAAATGGCGCAAGTTGGCGAAAGCTAGACGAGCCTTCTGAATCCGTGCTGAGATTTCGTCACACACCAGACCAGAAGGGCTGATGAGACTCCCAAGATAAGTGAAGCTGTCAACACGCTCTACTACTTCACTCCCTATCATTAGTTCAGGTGTCGATGCAACCCAATCCTGAAGTAACATTTTTCACTTCGAGGGAGAGAATCGCATTCCGAACATGCCTGCATAGTTGCTTATAGTGGTCAGAAGACTCTGCATGTTGTCAGCGTCTTCACTGAATAAAACTATGTCGTCGGCGTATTCTAAGTCAACAAGTGAGCCTCCTGGTAAAGGTTCAACTCCAGGAGATTGAGATGATGAAAGTGCTATCTCTAAAAGTATGTCAATGACAAAGTTAAACAAGAATGGGGAGAGTGGACAGCCCTGACGAACGCAACTTGTGGTAATCAGTTCTGATTACAGTTCGCCATAGGCTCTAACTCGACCAGTTGTGTTCGAGTAGAGAGCCTTTATGAGGTTAATGTACTTCTTTGGTACTCCTTTCAGTGACAAACATTGCCATAGAACCTCACGATCAACGGAGTCAAATGCCGCCTTAAGGTCAAGAAATACTACTATTGTGGGACGTCTGAATTTGTGTCTATGTTCTAGAACCTGACGTAGGGTGAATATCTGGTCTATGCAACCACGTCCAGGTCGAAAACCAGCCTGGTTTTCTCTAGTCTGCTCTTCACGAGCTTTGGTTAGGCGCCTAAGTATTATTGAAGCTAATACTTTAGACACTATATTAGTCAAACTGATTCCTCTGTGATTGTCACAGGAGGACTTTTGTCCTTTCTTATAGACTGGCACAATCAGTGATTGGGACCAGTCAGATGGAATTACGTCCAGTTCCCAGATTCTACCTAAGACCTCAGTCAATCTCACTGCTAGTACTGGACCACCATCCTTAAAAATCTCAGGGGTAAACCTGTCAGGGCCTGAGGCTCTCCCTCGCTTTAGATTTCCTATAGCTTTTTCAACCTCGTAGAGAGTTGGAGGACTTACCTCAATTTGCCATTCAGGACGACTGGGGATCGTGGGTAACTGAAGTGTGACTGAAGGCCAGTTGAACTGATCCCTAAAGTGTTCTGCCCATAGATCCAATCTCCTGGATTGAGAATGAATGATATGCCCATTTTTGTCTGAGATAGTTTCGCTAATAGTTGGGTTCTTAATGCCGGTTTCTTTAATAAGTCTGGATAGCTATCTGTTGTTACCTATTGCCGCTGCCTTTTCCATCTCTCTTGCTTTCGCTACCCACTACTGTTCACGATCATTGCGTAGGCTTCTTATTAGCCTTCGCTTAAGCTGACTCCGCTCTGTGCTATGTTCAGAGCCAGGTGGGACGAGTTTCCGAGCATCTATCAGTGTGGTAGATGCTGCTGAGATCCATTGTTTCTCCTTGACCTTATGGCTTACCTTACTAGCGGATATCACTGCTGTTTCCACAGCTTTACGGATGTCATTCCACGCTGCTTCGGGGTGGGCACGACTTACATGTCTGTCTAACTGTTTTTCCAGTTGTGCCTGAAATATATTCTTAGCTTGCTTATCATTAAGTAGAACCCTTAGAGGCTTCTCTGCAGTGTCTTTCCTACAGACAGATACATGCTCGCACTAGAGCGTGGTCTGAGTCTAAACATGTTCTCCAGAATGAGCGACAGTCTTCTATCGAGCCCATCCATCGGTGGCTGATAGCGATGTGACCTAATTGGGTCCGACGTTGGGACGAATTTGGGGGTCGCCATGTCAAAAGATGTTTTTCCTTATGCTTAAAGTTAGTATTTGCAAGAAATAGGCGGTTATCTGAGCACAGCTGCAACAGACGGTCGCCATTATCTGTCCTTTTAGCCATGACACCATAAGATCCACCCAGGTGTCTTTCACATAGTTTACCTACTTGAGCATTAAAGTCACCAGCCACTATTACTACATCAGAACGTCTAGCTTTTCGGAGAAGGTCAGAAAGTTTCCTATAAAACTCGTCTTTTATATCGTCTGAGCTGTAGTCAGTGGGAGAGTAGACAGAGACGACGAAGAGGCAACGACGAGTTTCCCTATCTTTCTGAGTCCTTACTGATTCGTTTAGTCGGACAGCGCATAGACGACTGTCTACTGGGATCCAGTCTAAAAGAGCTAGTTCTGCCCTAGGACTTAATGCTATACCTACTCCAGCGAGGCCACGGGAAGCAGCATCAGGGTTTCCAGATACACGAAGCGTGTATCGAGATGGTTCTTTATTTTGATTAGGTGAGGTCAAATGAATGACACTACTCGGAACTTGTATGCGCGTTTCGGAGACGCAGCACACATCGATGGTGTAAGATTCTAGAGTCCTAGCTAAGGAAGCCTGTTGTCCTATTTGGCACAATGTTCGGACATTAAAAGTTCCTATATGTAGTTTAGAGCGTGGTTTCAGGAGACCAGGAATAAAGTTCCGTGTACTTGAATCGTTTGCCCTAGCGGTGCGAGGTGATAAAAGGTCGTGGGAAGGGTCAGTCGTGGAGATAAGAGAGTTATTAGGAGTAGGAATGATTTGAAAGTGACCAACTTGGTCTCGTGTGCTGTTACGGGTATGAGGGCGAATATCACTTCCCGACTGCCCACACCATGGAAGGGTATTTCTTGACGGACCTGAAAAAAGAAGTCGGATTAGTGTTGGTCTTAACAACCTGGTAGCGTGACCGCAGTTCCCAAGGGACAACTGCTTGAGGCCGGTCACGCACGGCCTTTTTGTGGGGGATTTTTGATGTGTTAGCTCCGTTCTTCAAAGGACCTTACCGCCGGAGACGGAAATCCGTGGGATAATGCGAGGTGTGCATTTTTAAGGTCGACCTTTTCTAACCCCACCCCTCCTTGTGGGAAGGCAGCATCGCTGTCATGCTGGTTGTCTGAAGGAAACACCTTACTGCCGTTACACCTCTGTACAGTCGGCAGTACGACTTCGCCTTCGGACCTTGGGATTGCTGCTTTTAGTCTTACCGCTCTTCAACCGACCTGTCTGGCATGGTAGGACCTCGAGGAACGATTGTTCTAGCCAGCATTGCTCAATTGCTCCATCACGATAGGCAAACCCAACCACCACGTCAAGGTAGCCACAACGGTCGGTATCTAGGGTAAGAACACTGTGTGTAGCAAATTTGGTAAATTCCTACTAATACTATAGTAACCTTTGTAAATAAAACGTTGCCATAAGTTCCCGAATATCAGTAGATGTGACCTTATAATTTTAAGTTGGAACTAAGTAATTCTTGTTTTTTACATTACATTGGTTTGCAGTACCACATCTCACCCAACTTCGGACATGTGTTTAAATTTCTACAGTTGTGTATTTTCGAGTTTTTGCACATCCTCGGATTTCTTGAAAACTACACATTTCCTCTGAAAGTCGTACTGTCGTATTGAACTCAAGTATAATCTGTTGCTGAAATCGGCTTAAAATGAATTCATATGTTAACTTGTGTGTTTAATCTTTTAATGGTATGTTGACGTTACGTACCTAATAAGATACGAGATCTACTGAAAGCGTTTAATACTAGTCAGATCAATAACGGAGAGAAAATAAAAATTTATCATAAACTGAAAGCACTACATATAACCGAAACTCGCTGGGTGTTGCTGTTTTTTTATTACTTCGTACTCAAGTGTCAAACCATCCCTTTCGGGTAATCCCACCAGTGAATGGTTTTCTAGCTATTACTTATCTTAGTATTCCTGTCTATCCCTGGTCACGTGATTGGCTGGCCTTTTCCTTATGGGTTGGTAAATATGATCTATAACAATGCATCTGTTGATTGCAGATAGTTGATAGTAACTATTCACTTGAAATGTCATTAGAACAGGCTGGTCTAACATTTTTGGACTAAATGAGCAATTCACTTCTACCTGAAGTGAGTCCTAGTGTTGTTCAAAAGGACACTGAAAGCTTCGCAGTTAAACCGCCCAACTTAGAAAACAACATCGTAACTACTTTGTCTTAGCAGCTTCCCCATAGAACACCATTTCCTAACGCAAACTGCGGAGAGTAACGTCTACTATTTCTATCTGGGGTGAACTCGATTTTCAAAACATAGTATCCATGACTACGGTTGACGGGACAGATGAATCAAATATACAAAACCCAGTCCAACTGACAATCGATGACACAAAATTTTACCTTCGGTTTTTATTTTAGTACAGAAATTTGATTTAGTAAGAGCCAATATATGGTGTAGTATTACGTCGTCTTAGCAATAATTTCAATGAGTAGCTGACCTACATGTAGCAGTAGCCTAAAGGACTAACTCACGTCTGACCATTTCAAATGTTCCCGTCAGGCAAGATTTATAGTTCGTTCGGTGCGTATATTTTCCAGTAGCGCTATCCCCTATGATAAAGAAGTGGCAACAATAGATGCATAAGAAGAGTAATTATAGAACACTTTGTTAATCACGGATAAACAATTATTTACAGTCCTCCATTGTTGAAGTCCAGTGCGCATATAAAGAAACTGGGGTCGTGTACACAAAAAAATTCGTTCAGTCTCCCGTCCCCCATGGTCTCAACATAGAATTCCTTCATTTCTTCGTTTCTCAAGCACCCCCTTTCTTTCGTCGTGTTGGAAATTTTACTCAAGCCGAGTGAGTTTTGTTTCCATCCCCTCACTGATTACAGTTTACTGTATTGTGCTACACACTTTCGTCGTCATTAATCTTTATCTAGACTCTGGCATTCTGATGTATCTTTTCGACTTCTGAATTAAAATCACATTTTTGTGCATTTGTTGGTTTTGTTCGGTATTTTGTTGTCATTAACAAAAATATGTATTATTACTGTAGGGAAAATAATGTGTATTCCCAATTGGCTAGCTCATGGAATGAAGTCGCAAAATGAAAACCTTTTCGCATTACCTCACATTTTGTTTAAAATGTTCAACTAACTACAATAAAATGAGTGAAAATTCGGAATAACTCTACGGTTACTTATGAGTATCGTCGATAAAAAAATACAAGTAGTTAAAACATTTTATTTCTTCCTGAATTCACTACTATCTCATAGTTCATATAACGGACTTACCTTAGTTATACGACCAATAAAAATCCAGGAAGCACAAACTCCTACGCTAATAATAATCATGTGCTCATTAGTAATTCCCAAGGATATTGTAAAAAGTCATAACTAGCGGAACTCAGCCATATCGAATGTGAGGCAGTTACCTGCAGAGGGCAATGGAAGATGGTTTCGCAATATCACGAACTGAAGTTAGGCATCTTAACCATTGGATCATGGCTCAGTGATCTCAAAGTTAAGTGCTCACTGCGAGACTTGACGGTACTGGGTCCGATTGCTGGTTGGGTCGTGAATGCACACCTCTTAGGAGTTACTAAAACAAAATAGCTGATTAGTGCTTCTTGGTTAGAAGTAATCTAAAATCAGTCTGTAATGGGAAGTATATAATTCAACAATCTTCACAAGCCTTTACATTATCTAACTGTTTATCGATCCACATATCTGATGCAACATCTAAAGAACTGTTAGAATTTAGAGATCACTAAAACCGGTCACTTATATTTCATGTTTTCAACTCAAATACACTGCATGTAGCGACAAGTATTTAGCTTATCGGAAGCTTCATTTCTGCACACTTATGTGGCGGTTCAATACAATTTTTATTATAAAGTGAAGGCAAGTAGAGAACTATTAAAATCAACTAGTAGTCCCGGTAGGTAATATCATCTATTAGGTGCAATGTAAGAATAATTATTTATCAGTATCACTAGAATGTATTTACACTAAATCAAGAGTTGAACGGACTTGAAAGTAATTATTACTATCTGGAAGTTTAATAACCCGACAGTACTCGGTTCGTGAGACTCCAAAATCTTTAGTCTTATGATTGAGAATACCGATTGCAAATATCTAGTTATTATTCTTTTGGTGGATTTCTTCACGTTGAGCAATTCGATGATTAATATTACTCGGTACGTTGATAGATGGAGTGCTGATATTTTGAGTCAATGAGTTGATACATGTATATCTCCCGGCATATTTTACTATTCATCTATAATAAAGAGTAAACTTATAACTTCTCTCCAATAACATCTCCAGTTACTGTATTAATTCTTGTTCTTCAAGTCACAGTGAGCAGACAGGTGTTAACACAATTATTTTTAAACTCGCAAAGTTTTATCATAAACTGACAACCACTCGGCCTCAATGAACTTATTTAGAATCAGGGAAATTTTCGTATATGAAAACTTTTGAGATATCATGCATGTGACGTACCTAAGTCACTAAGCCGCGTTTCAAGATGGCATCAATTTTGAACAAACGTTGGTAGACTTAACAATACTTCTTTGATGGTACCACCGTATGTGAACATTTCTTCTGGGGTAAAAACGTTCAGTTGCGGAAAGTCTCTGAAAATCTACTAATGAGACAAACTATGTGTAACGAATGCAGAGCTAAGCCTGGTGTAATAAAGCGTTTTGAACTTGATTTTCTGATACCTGCAAAATTTCTGACTTCTACGTGTGAATGACCTCCTTAACTAAGTCAGCTAAAATTTACAAATTCTCGGAGACACCCAAATCTTCAGACTATCCACCGTTATGCTCTTGCCATCTTCAACCAATCCACGAAATTGAGCAACCATTCACCAATGTCTTCAGTAAGTTGATATCTTCCAACAGACCTGGTTGAACTCCACTGGTTGTTGCTTCTCACTAGAACTCCAGGAAATAACTCATGGAGCCAGTCACTAGTGAGCATATTATCAGAGGGGGGTTTTTGGAGATGCCATGTATAACATTTTTGAATATAAACTCATTGCATGAATTTTTTTTCTATCAATCTACCTGGTTTCATCAATACAATATGGAATGTTTCTTTCATGAATCACTAATAGATTAGGTCACAATGGCTAGACATTAAATAATTTAGTATAAAGTTCATTACACCTACACTGTGTATAAACACAAAAGGAATCTTTAGATTTTTGTCCATCCATTCAAACAAAAACATTTTCTAATCAAAATATCCCAATTAAATGTAGATATGGAATGATAATTTATAATAATACAATAAATCCTAGACATAATAGTTCACTGATTATATAATATAAACAAATTTAGAATATCTCTCTATGAAAACCAACTTTGCATACATATATTACTTATTAATAATTCAGTAGTACCACTAACTTTCAAGCAAAACGTCCGGCCTAAAGTCGAGTACGCAAACATATTTAGTCAATGATTTGTTTTACACTTACGACGGAAACATATTATTTAAAATATCAGTGTGATGATTCAGAAAAATGAAGTGAAGAATTCTCAAGTTGATTGCTGATCATCAGCAATAAGTTTTTCTGGAAACAATTAGTGACCCATCAGACAAATCAAAATGATCTGATATGGGTGAAACCATTTCTTTTGATTCTACGATAATATTATCAGATAGATCAAATGATATCTCAAAACAGTTTGGTAAATCCGAAACAAATGTGGGGAAAATAATCATATATGTACTTTTTTTACCACATAAGATAGTTCCATCTACTTCCTTCTAATTGAATTAATCTGACCACTTATAAATACGTAAGAATCATAATATTCCACAGCTTTATTTGCAATGCTTACCTTTTCCTGCATAGAAGGGTTAGCAAAGAGTTTTAAGCCCCCCATAGTGGCTGGATTAAATCTCGTATTACAACAGTGAACCTTTAGAAATGATCCCAGAAGGTAGTTAGATATCTATTTTTTTTCAAAATAATCTAGTCAAGCAATAGAACCGATTACACTCTGCTACTTACCGTGAAAAAAAAATATTTATAGTTGTTGTGTGTTAGTATTTATAAGAAAGTGTTTGATTGAATGTATATTTTCAAGCAAACTTCCGTTATGAACGACAACACCGTTACCACTTCCAGGAAAATAATCGCTGTTTTCAGTCAGAACAACTTGCTTCCATATATCATACTGAAAGGCTAAAGTAAACATTATACGGTTCAAGGCAATCGACAGGACATTCAAAATCAGGTCATATACTACCTGGCAATCATCATCGAGGCTTACATGCCATTATCTTGAGAAAAATTATACTCTCCATTGTATACTTGCCCACTTCATTCAACACCAGTTAAATACGTTACCACTGAGATATTCAGGCCCCCAGACACTGATCCAAAAGATTCTAAAGATTTTCACTATAAATTATACATAAAGGGGCATCACTGACACACCGAACAAGGCCGTACAGTCAGAGTAGGCTTTTATGAACGAGCAAAATATTTACCTACCTAAAGGATCACATACATGTCTTTATCCAGTCCAAAATGCAACTGATATATTCCCATACGGAGCCAACAAAATTGCTCTACTAATGGGCAATACAGCTCGCCACACAGTCGTAGCCTTTTTTCCTACAAGTAAACGGCTAAGCCTCAGGGGAGTGAACGTTCGACATGCGAATCATATATATATGTATATATGCAAAGAGATAGCCGCAGTCCCGATATGGTTTAAATGCTATAATGGTCTAATTTAGCTGGAACTGTTGATCCTTAAATCTTAACAAACCAGCCAGCTCGGTTGGAAACTAGTAAGACTAAAAACAGCAACTTAAATCCCGACTTTACATGAAGATGAGAACAGTGAAGAGTTCCTCCCAGTAACCAGTATCTACAACATCCCTACCTAACGAAAGGGGTTAGAAAAAGTCCCTCCTAAAAGTACCATACCCCACTTTACCATATATATCTCCAGTCCCAGTGGTTAGGTCTCAGAAGAATAAAGAGAACGCATTAGAAACTATCTATAAAACTGCAGTGTGTAACTGACCATGAACAGTTTTCCATAGGCCTCTGCCTTCCATATCGAAAAGGTCACTTCTAATTCAGTTCCTTCATCAGGTTCCTCAGGAAGAAGTATGCTCTTTCACAGTGTTTGCAACAAGGAAATGACAACCACCATTCATTCCTAACAGCATGCGAAACCATCTAGTTCGAGTGTGTCATGTGACCTGATTAAATTGAAAGAAATGTATCATTCCTGTGTCACATGAAAATGAGACGTCCACATATATGCTTAAATCCCAGAAACTAGGTCAAATCCAACAAAGGTTTAATAAAAAGAAAGCAGAAAGACCATATAATTGATTTTCAACCATTTTATCCATGATTAGCTTTAACTTAATTTACTGTTTTACGAAAAACTCAAAAAGTAATAACATTGTCATAATGACAATGATACCAAACAATAATGTTATTAATTAACTAATAAATGAATAAATAAGTAAATTATTTAATTAGCAAGAGTGCTGAAGGCAAAACAAAAACCCAATTCAAAATCAGAACCCATAATTATAAAGACAATGAAGTAACAAAACAGATTAGATCAATTGAACAACGTAAGAAAGAAACAATAACTTCCTCCTATTGTATTATCACCATTTCACAGTTATCATAGCCTCTTTTTAAAAATCAAGATCCTAACAAATAAATCATTTTTCTTGTATTATAAAATGAGAATAATTGAGCTAAACATGTGCATTACACTAAATTGAAGCGTAGTAAAAATTCACCGATGTTTAAATTTGAATATTCGCTAGATTAAAACAACAAAAATGACGGAGAGAAATAGAAACATCACGAGAAAAAGAAAGAAAACTGATTAAATAACAATATCGAAGTTATTATGAATGAAATAGCGAACCAATTTTTTTTTTCAGGATAAGTTAATATACTAACTACTAGTTCATTTAAGTAGTATGTATGTGTTAACAGAAGCAGCTTACATGCGTATATATAAATATTATCATTGCACTGGTATCAGGAAGATGTAAGAGGAGGAGTAGGGCTTTTAGGCACTACGTGGAATATTCATGTTTTAATGAATACATTTCAAATATATATATCAAATAATTCAGTATAAACAGCTGATAAGAATAAGAATAATGAGTAGTGTAAGCGGTACACTAATAATAACAAAAAAAATTATGAAATTAATATTAGTAGCCAATAGTAAATATTGAGTAACACAATATGAAATAGCTTCGTTTAAAAAAAAAAGTTATCATAGAAAAAAATGAAAAATTCGTTAGAAAACAGAACAACTGAGTCATAAGTTAAGCCAAACATCAACCGGTTTAAATGTTAGTATTGACTTCAACTTCTGTCTTGTACGTTGAATATACTACTCAGTATAATCGAATAGATCACTAATAGTAGTAATTGTAGTAGTAGGCTAAACTTATGAATGCTTGAGAAAAGTTTGACAGCAGAGCTGCCTTCCTGAATTGGCCATTGTTCAATATATGTGTATATGAATGTTTATTTTATATAATGTTGTATTTCTGAATAATTTCAGCCACCAGGATTATCTCACAGAACTATGTGACTTACTTTTTCACTTACTGTGAATACAAATAAGTTCGAAAAAATACAGCGTACAAAAAAAGTGTCTATCAAAAATGGTAAGCAATTTTGTTGAAATACCCACAATCCGTTATCACCGGAAACGTTCTGTGTAGTCACCGACTTTGTTTCAAAATACTAAAAAAAATTAATTCAACGTACAACTAATACTACACTAATGGAAAGTATCAGTAACATCAGGAATTGCAGTAGTAATGGGAGTAATGTCAACAAGCAATTAAAAAAATCATACTATTACTGTGATAATAATAGTAGTGTGTTAGAATGAGTAATAAATAGATGCGATGGCGCTTTAAAAGGAAGTGGAAAAGTGAAAATGTCTCCAAAAAAAATAATAACAGGAAAGATTCGGATTCCCTGAACTACGCCCCATCCACCAACAGCATTTTGAATAAACCTAACAAGATAAAAATGATTTTAAAAAAGTCGACAAAAACAAGAATTTTGTTTTTCCTAGTAAAAAAAGAAACAACAATGAATTAATCAACGTTGAATAAATGAAGTTTTCAATGAAGTGTCCTATGAAAAACGTACGCACATCCGATTGAAAACAAAATTAGAATATAGAATTGTCTTCCTTGATCCTCAAATCCTGGGACTATTAAAAGCATCACTACTGTAAATCAATAAATCGATGACAAGTAACAAGAACGGTTTATTGTCTTGTGGTTGTGTTTATGTCTTGCTTGATACCTGTGTATTGTTACTACTACTGTTACTAGGTGGATCATAACAATTCGATTCCATTTTGATTTGATATTCTCTATTATTTTGAAATTGGTTAAGTGCTACATTTGTTGAAGATGTAGTTGTCAATGGTGACAAAGGACTAGAACAATCCATTGAATTAGTTTTATTCCCAGAAGATTCATGATATTCCAAGCCCCATGTTTGTTGATTATTATTAGTAGTAGTATTACAACCATTACTGTCATTATTCCCTGTACTATTTCCGACTGAGATTGATTTATTTGTCATGATTATTGTTGAATTGTTATCTAACAGATCTTGTCCACTTAATAAACGTGATCTATCTCTTGAGCCTAAAATCGATATAAGATTCGGTTGTGAATAATCTTTAAATGTAATAGTTTCACTTAAACTATGAGAGTTATTTTCCAATGAAGGAAATGATAATTCATAAGTGGAACAAGATGATGATGATGAACCAGAGGCTGGACCACGTACAGATACTTGTGAAGTACTTCTTGACATTGGAATTAACATAGAATCTGAGATATCATGATCTTCTTGATTAAGAGTTGACACCTTGTTAGATTCAGAATTTTGTGTAAAAATGCGATTTTCATTGTCTTTTACAGAATTATTTGAAGAGAATCCAAATAAAGATTTTGATCTATTTGGTGTTATATGGGAATGTAACAAATTTACCGGGGGAAGTAATGATGACGATTCATTAGAAATGAAATTTTCATCTGATACTTCATTTATAGTGTACGTTTTCCCAAGTGTTTTTGTCTTCCATTCATAATGTTGAGTTTCACATTCCATATTCTTGTCTGATGTCAATAAATCATTTAAATCATCTAAAGGCTCTTTGAAATTATTTAAACATGCTGGTACTTCATTTAAACATGACAAATATGGCACAGCAACTCCAGGACAATGACGTTGTAATAATATAACACAATGTTTTGCTCGTGAACGCCAACTTTCTAATTCTTGCATTAATCTACTAGCTTCTAATTGTAAACATTCAACTTGTGATTGTAATTCTTGTGTTCGTTGAACTTTACGTTCACGACATTTTTGTGCAGATTTACGATTTCGTTCACGTCGTTTCATTCGACGATCTGCTTCATCTGGGTCAACCTAGTTTCAAATGAAGTATAAAAAACAAGTAGGGATTTTTAGAAAAAAGTAGTTCCATTTTTAAGTTGTTCTAGTTACGGTGTAAACCATCAACAGTGAGATACAGGTGCATCCAGTTGATGAGTCCTAAGTAAGATGAAACGCGTGTTTTGGATTCCACTGCTAGCCACCATCTATCTAGATTGTGATGTTTTTTAGTACAATGAATTATTATCGAAAACTTAACTTAGAACCAGAGATGCTCCAGTACTATAGTTGGTTACACCTCTAGAGCCAGATCTGAGTAGCCATATTTTAAAGCTGATCGACATCAAACATCTGGAATTAATCACTTTATCTTGCTATCTCAGTGTGTCCAAGTGTCTACAAATGATAGTGTTTCTTATTGAGTTAAGATAGTCATGTATTGTGTACTGAGTGGTAATACTCGTCAGACTTAATTGGAAAATATTAACCGAATCCTTAACAATAGCTTATCATTCGCTAAGATTCATATTCACTTTCTGTCATACTAGTTACTTTACGCCACAGGACAGTGATCTAAAAAAACTTAACATTCAGAACTGACCGATAGTAGACCGAAATAACTCATCTAACTAAACATTAAAATGACAAAATATTGGACGAAGTTTTTCCATTAAACAATAATAGAAGTGAACCAAAGGTATGCAATATCAGGTATAAATCATAGTAGCCAACGTAAAATCACACTTTATATATAATTTTCACATCTCAATTGTCTGTTTGTTAACCAAATACTAAAGCTAACAACAACATGAAGCAGTTTTACACTCTAAACAGAAAAATTGGGATAAGGAAGAAATCGAGCTATGACTCATTACTATAATTTAAAAGAACTTCTTTGTAATCTGATTGGTTAATAATTTGACCTTAAAATGTATCGACCTGAAATTGGTAGAAATTTAGCGAAACAATTTGATTTACCTACGCCTATATGTAGTAGTAGTAGTAGTAGTAAGGCCAGACAAAAAAGAAAGTATATTAGATTTGGCTATCGTTGTAAATCCGGAAAGATTTTTCCATGCATAGAATTCAATATTGATAAATATGGTCACGGTCTGTTAGAAATAGGTGTAGGGCAAGAATATTTTTCGATTAGATATTATCCCTTAAGAATTTGTATGAATCACATGCTGAGGTATCTTCGGGAAACGCCTGAAGGATAATTATAGAGTAACACAGTTCTTGATGATGGATCATCAAGCATTTCTGTCAAGCCATAAAAATTATTATCCTAATTTGTAAGAATTTAAAGCTAGGAAGAAATTCTGTGTTGATAATGATGGCGTATCACATGGTCAGTGCTGACCCGTTCTAAGGCAAAAAAAAAACAAGATAACTATAGGATAGCTTTGTTATATTCAACCAACTATGCTGTGGGCTTCCAGATAAAAAAAAACTATGGTCGGGATGTTCTGGAAGTAATCGAGATCATTTTGACTAGAAAAACGTAATGCCATTATTGATTTTAGAAATCCCGTATTTCACTTTTCTACTTAAACTTTTATGCGGTTCCATGTTATTCTGATACCGCGAGATATTCATTATCTTGTCCTAATTATACAGTAATATGATGTAATACTACTCATATAATAACTTTATTGTTATTATTTACTAATAATATGCAACTCGGATCTCTATGATTCTTATTATTTGGTTCTGAGTGAAGTTCGATTACTTACTAAACGGTGTGTATACTATTTATACATTGGACAATTGGATATGAACTCATGGGTTGCTAACGATACAGAAAATTAACAATGAACTCCAGGTTATTGCGTATATTTTCAATAATGAACCCAACTCTTTTTTCGATTTTGATTCTATATGTGTCTACACTGATGATGGATAACAACATATGAAGGAACGCTAGGAGCACATCAATGACGTTTAGGATTTAAACCTTGATTAAGTTAAACAGTTTACTCTTTTATGGCCACGATAATGTAAAGGGATGAGAAAAAATGATGTTCTAAATTTAAGGATCATCCTATTAATTATCTTTTTTAAATCAATGTCATTCTAGCTTACTAGTTCGCCCTTCAGATTTCTTCGCCCAGTAGCTAATGTAGGTGCAGGTTTCCTTGTTCTTCCTGGAGTTTGTGGACATCCACTGCTACATGTCGGCGTAGGTGATGCTTCACCATCATCTGATGAGCAACCAAATTTATTGCCTGAAAAACCTATAGTTGAAGAATCAGGAGTCATGGTAATTGTACTTGTCACAGGACTTGCTGTTGAAACAACCAATAATCGTGTTGGTGTGGAGGCACTACGTGAAGAACGATTAGAAGCTTGGGGTGGATTCTTTACATCACAATTGATTCTTGACTGAAGTATATTTTGTCCACAAGTTAAATTAGATGGGCTATGTGATCTATTCTCATAAACATTATCACCAATATTGCAATATCCACCGGCTTGAAATGCATGATGCTGTGCATGGTTACCTGCAGTTATATGAGATCCTGTTTGATGTCCTGAATGATCGTCATGTCTAGGTGTTGGACACGTTGTTGGACAACGATTTATATTCGAGAAAACTGTTGTATTCCCAGTAGGTGATAATACTGGAAACCCATTTACACATGACGACAATTGTTGAGTATCATCAATCATATGAGGACGAAATCCTGATCTAGAGTTGATTTTCAGATCATCTGTAAGAGAACTAGTATTCCAATGTCCGAATTCACTTTCTGGTATATTTGAATAATTCATGTATTCATTATTATTGTTATCATTATTATTACTATCATTATAGGCTATAGAATCAGTCAAATGATCATATTGAGCATTCAGTAAATTATTACGTTGATAAATGTAATTATTTCTTGTACCATTATGATAATTATTCGTAACATTAACAGCAGCACTAGTGATTGTAGTAGTAGGCGTTGTTGTATTAATGTATGGTTGTTTAATCTCCATAGTTTGATCACAATGATTCAAATTCACAGCCTCTGAATTATTTGAATAGTTTAAACTATTCGATGTACAATATGAATTGTTAGCACGATTAATACTACTACTATTATTATTATTGTTATTACCATGATTGTGTGTGTTTAACACGGATGGTCGTGAATAATCTGATTTTGATTGCAACAATAAATGCGGTGCGGGTAACGATGTAATTTGACGTCGTTGTTCTGATGGGTTTTCATTTGCAAAATGAGATGGACTTAGTGTAGCCATGTGATTCATTGGATATAATGTATTGTCATGATGATGATGATTACTATGAACACCATGATGATGTATATTAAAGTTTTCAATCAGTGTAGTCGATAAATTTCCACTATTACGTTCATTTGTTAATTTATTTGAACAAGTAGACATCGTCGACATTGGTAAAACAAAAGAATTGTAAAAACTAGTTATATTCTTGTATAATGTTACCCCGAAATTTGCAGCAGATCAGTCATGAACCTGGAAGTATAAGAATAAACATTTCGTTTTTGTTTTTCTCGTTTTCCTAAGCATTAGCGAATTTTAATAAAAACATTGAATATTAAACATTATTGTAAATTATAAGCAATGATGGATAGTGGCTAGCAGTGGAATCCAGGACTCAGTAGCTAAGTGGATAACGTGGTGGCGTTTGAAGCGAACGGTACTGCGTTCGAGTCCCAGAGTAAACACCAACTCTGAGATGCAGGCACATCCAACTGACGAGTCCCAAATGGGACGAAACGCGCGCCCTGGATCTCACTGCTAGCGACTATCCATCATTGCTTATAATGCTTGTGAATTGAGGCCATATCGAGGCAATATGCACATCATGCACATATTCCAATAAGAAACTGATCAATTGCAGTCCTAAACATCAATGTGAAGATTCAATCAAACAATATCAAGTGAATTATTGTAAATTGTTTTACTTAAATTGTTATCAGTATTGCAAACATAAAATTAAGAATTTTTGAAAGGTTAGTCATTAAAGCTTGATATTTGAAGTCATATAAAAAATTTCCAAACTACGAATAACGCTTAATACATTTAGCTTCCCAGATAACGTCCATTAACATAGCAAATAATTGTATGATATCTGATACTATGAAGATTGATAGAGTCTAATTTCCACTGAGAATATCAAAACTTAGTGGTATATGTAAGTACTGACAAATGGCAAAAAGGATGGGATGTATCTATTGAATATTATTGTTAATTATCCTCTGTTAAATAAAATACCTAAATCACAAAATACTCAGACAATATTCCAGTTTGAAACTTATTCATTTTATTTGAACAAAAATATTGATACAAAGGGGCACCAAATAGACATGCGCCACAAATCTTATTTGATTTGTGTGAGTGCTGTGATGCTGCCCGGGTGCCCAAACCGAAGCAGGTGGTTTTCTTAGGGGGCCATACCAAGAGCCTTTGACCGAAAGATCTGATCCACAATGCAGTGGAGCAGCGTGAGGAGATGCAGTCCCATAGTAGCCGGTGACCAACGATTGGTTCAAAAGCCATTTGTTCCTTCAAAATACTGGAACCTATGTGCACCATTGGTTTGAAATCAGGGTTTTCCAACTCGCCTAGGTGAACTCGCCGTGTCCACCAACCCGGTTAAATCGCCGGACATTCGCTTTTCGTTCTCTTAATTTCGTAAACAACACCCCCGCCACGAGAAGGTAGTGAGTAGGACTTCCCTGACAGAGACTATATACGCGTGGCCATATGAGAGCATTTCGAGAGGGAGGGCGGACTCTCGGCTGTACCGGGGCATTTGGGGGTAGTTTGAAACTACTAGTATGTATGTATGGTTTGTAAAAAATTTATCATCAAATACACTAATCAATAGTATATCCTAGTCTAAAATAAATCTATCGAAGAACTCAACGTGAATAAGATTCATATAACTGAAATGACATGAACTCCAGTGAATTCGAAAATTCACACTTTTTTGTATAGTATGGAAATAATATTTTAAGACAACAAAATACAAGCGTTCAAAAGAAAACGCGATGAGACTATGGTTTATAGACGACTTTTTAGCAATGCTAACTAAAGTGGCCATAAGGAAGTTCAAACATTTACAAGTCTCAATGAAGGGTTAGAAATTAGTGTGAGGAATCGGGATCAGGAGTTATAGTCAGAAATAAGTGTGTTCATCATGAACCGACATTAACCATAATCGCAAAATTCTATTTTCATGGTTAAAATCACGAGCCAATTGAAGCTAGACCACTATGGAAAACCTAAAGCACTGGACGGCCGTTTCGTCCTACTGTGGGACTCCTCAGCAGTGCGCATCCACGATCCCGCCTCGCGAGATTTCACAAAACCCCTTCTGATCATAATCATATGTTCACTAGTGACTGACTTCAAGGGATGTTTTCTGGAGTTCTAGTGGGAAGCAGTGACCAGCGGAGTTCAACTACGTCTGTTGTGAGATATCAACACACTGTAGACAATTGGTGAACGGTTGCTCAAACTTTGTGGATTGGTTGAAGTTAGAGATTAACACCGTTGGATGCCGACTCAGTGGTCTATCGGTTAAGTGCTCTGGCGCAAGACTAGCAGGTCGTGGGTTCGAATCTCGCGAGGTGGGATCGTGGATGCACACTGCTGAGGAGTCCCACAATAGGACGAAACGGCCGTCCAGTGCTTCCAGGTTTTCCATGGTGGTCTAGTTTCAATTGACTCATAATTTCAACTATGAAATTACTGAAATCTCCACAAAACCCCTTCTGAAAATTCTATTTAGCCAATATGGATGAATGAACTTGACGCGAAAATGGTAATGCCTCTGTTTTAAATCTGATTGATTCGTTCATAAATTATAGTGCCGTTGGAAACTCAAATCATTGATCTATGAAATGCCATCCTGTTTTTCTCTAAATTAACTCACACAAACGCGTTCATGCCTATCTAATTCTAAATATTTTGGATGTAAGTGAAGAGACCTGGAAAAATACTTACTGCAATAAACTAATGAGAACAGATATGTCTTATTTCCATCACTACCAAGCTTGGGATATCTAGATGAGAAAAGTTAAAGTATTTATACTAGAATGGTTGATTATGCAGGAACGAATAGTCCTAGTTAGCTAGTGATCTTAGATATAGATTAGTATAATTCTTAATCGAAGAAAACAATTTGTGTATGCGCTATTCAGTTTTCCAGTTATCTTTGATTACTGGGCCCAATAACTATATGAACAAATGAACAGTTATTACTTTATCGCCTAAAGTAGATTACAGTGTAAATAACAGACACATTTTTTTCGCTTATCAAACGACAAAAATAAAATCCTGCTTCCTATCCAATATGTCTATTTCTCTACATATCTCGCATTCTTCTGGCTTAAATATACTCTCTCCCAAATAATTACAATGACCTTCTAATTTGTTCTAACTAAACGACCTCGTCTGGCTGCTTTCCTGGTTGACATATCAGTGACCTTGACACGAATGATGGACTCTGACTAAAATTAACGGTAAACAGCATAGTATCTCATGCAACCAAGGCACACACATACGCACACGTTTATTGTCTTAGTTAGACTTATGTTTTGAAAAGCTACCTAACTTGATCAACATCTTTTATTTTAGACTGATCTATCTATTAGAAAGGCGGGGATAACTAAGGAAACAAACTTCCTATCCCCTTGTTAATGTTCTATCCACTTTATTTTTAGTCAATAAAAAATACACTTGAAATGCTCATTATCAACATATTTCCTCAATTAATGAAAATAAATTCCACCAAATTGTAAACACAAACATAGAAGGGAATGTACAGATGATGTAAACATTTCCCTCTTTCTTTAAAACACATTCCTTATTTGTAATTATTGAAAAAGAAAAGGATACAGAGGTCAAGTGTTGTTATTTAAGTACGAATTATTAGGAGAACAGCTTATTCCCAACTGGTCAAAGTTGATGTAGATTACTTTAGGAAGTAATGAGCAAACAACATAGATTCCTTTGATTGGTTGAATAGATTTGCCTAATCATGGAAACGGTAATATCTGATGAATGAGTCATAGCCCTAGTGATACAGTAAACTTACCAATATTCTATCATCATATGATTACATTGATGAAGTGAATTTGTATTGATGTGTACATAAGCTTAGTGGAGGCTGATGGGTTATCTGTTTTGACTGCTTTACTTAAAAGTACTTTTTTAAGATCTACATAGTAGACTTTGACACCTTTTCTGGGAACAAAATGATATACAGAAGTTTTTATTGTAGGGATGTTTATTTTTGGTATGTAGTTTAATAAGAATTGCAACATGCTCAGCATGTCTTCGTCTGAATTTTAATAGCCAATCTGAATTTAAAAAAACTAGCTAACCAGTTAAAAGGATGTCAACTAGTAAAATCAAAAAAGTGGCACGACTAAGCAATCATGTTGTAATGAAGGTCAATTTTTGCAGGGTTTTATAACTAGATTAGTAAAAACGTTAACAGCCCTTCCTTTATGTAACTTATTTGCCAAATATGGGTATCTGTAGCCAGCTCTGACCAACAGTGTTCATACGTGACTTCAACGTTTCGCTCGGCAACTCGGTCCTAGCTTTTTGAAGAAAATAAGCTTGCGTCAGATTGCCGAGCAAAACGTTGGATTTACTTCAAATTTAATTGCTGGGATTTTATAAATATATTATTTCACCTTAATGTCGTACATTAATTCAGCGTCCAAATAATGTGATTCTATTCGTTCAAATTTAGACGAAAGTCCTCATAAAGTTTCAATAATAGTTTACAGAAACATAATGGATCAAATGTTATTACAAGTGTGATGATCACTTGAGCTACATATTTCTGCGAAAATCACTAAATAACGTTTTTAGCAATCCCAAAAGAACGAATAAACTATAAACTGATGATCCTTTTCGGGCAAATTTACGCACTTTTATTAATTCAACCCAGATGATTAATAAGAAAAAAGCTGGGCCAACATTTAAACTCTTGGAGTGAACTCGAAAAGGAATTATTGTGGGGTCAGAGAAATGACAGTGAGCCCTAGCCAAACTATCTATTAAGCTGAAACGTTTCTACGTTAGATGGTAGATCACTGAATGCTGAATAGTTTAATGAGCCTAGTCAAGGTCAAGGATAACTAACGTGGATTAATTAATTACACACCATAGATAGACCTATGCAGCAGCAGTTGAACTCTGAACTCCTCTAATCTGTTCTTACTAATACATGCTGTTGTTTCACTGATTCACGTGGTTATCACAACAGGATTAGCCAGTTTAGGTATAAACTGCAAGGTGTGTCTTCAACGTAACCTAGGTCACACCATCCAAATAGACCTAAATCATCGACATAGACCGACCATCTGAATTGGTGATGTACATCATGAATAAATTATTTCCATTTTTAGTACTAGTAGTTACTTATCTTTTAAAATAAGTTGCAATGTAGAAAATATTCATGACGACATTCAGAACATAAATCGAGCAACTACGTATTTCAGTAAGGGGTGCATCAGCTCTACAACATGAAGTTAAAAAAATGTACAAGTTAAGAAGTTCGACTATTTGCTAATGTAATAATTAAAAAGAAAATGAGTAAATAAGTAGTCATTTATGTGAAATCAAAATAATTGAAAGATTAACCTATAGGTTAATGTACCTAGGTCATAATATTCGAGTGGTTATTAATACTACATTGACATCTAAACAAAAATAAGCGAAGTTTAACTTAAATCTTTGGCATAATGTGATCTACAGTTGAGTGTGTTTTGAACAAGTCAAATATGATGATTCAGTGATTAAAGTACACTGCTTTCAAACAGTCAGTTGTAGGTTCGTTTCAGTCAGTCAGTCAGCTACAACGTAGGACCAGGCACATACATGAATCGGTCCAAATTGCCATACCTCGTTAGCACAACAAAATGAACACCGAATTCATAGAAATAGTTAATTTAGTGGTGGTAGTATATAAAAGAAAGGTTGTATATCAAGAGATAGTACAGGAAGAAAGACAGATATGAAGCAATTTTAGTCTCAAGGTTTAAGAGAAAGATAAAGAGTGTATACACCTGCGCCATTGTGATCGATTCTGAGCCATGTAAACTCTATTCGGAGTTAATCAATACAAAATATTTCGAGCTTTATTTCATTAACATGACAGTTAATAACTCCGCTCTCCGTAGATACATTTCTAAAGTACATGGATTTAGGCCAAACCGCTTAACAACTAACTTTTTTAAAATATTTATAACATCATAATGGTTACATCTAAAAACTTGAGTAACAGAATTTGTTTGACTTTGATAAATTTTAGTAATACTGAATTTCTGTCCAAATACAAACAAGTCTAAAATTTATTTCGAACCCATAGAATATATACAGTTTAACTAGAAGAAGATGGTAAGCAGAGATGGATAGTGGCTAGCAGTGGAATCCACGACGTGCGTTTCGTCCTATTTGGGACTCGTCAGCTGGATGTACCTGCATCTCCGAGTTGATGTTCACTCTGGGACTCGAATACAGTACCCTCGCTTCAAACGCCATCGGGTTATCCACTCGGCCACTGAGTCCTGATAGCCACTTGTGCGATGGGGTGAAGTTTAAATTCACTTAGTATTGTTTGTTTGAATCTTCCCATCGATGTGTTAGGACTGCAAATGGTCAGTCTCTAATTGGCGAGGGTACTGGGTTCGAGTCCCAGAGTGAACATCAATTCTGAGATACCGGTACACCCAGCTGACGAGTCCCAAATAGGACGAAACGCGCGTCCTGGATTCCACTGCTAGCCACTATCCATCTCTGCTTACCATGCTTGTGAATTAAGGCTATATTGAGGCAATACACACAGTATGCACATATGCCAATTAGAGACTAACCAGTTGCAGTCCTAACAAATCGATGGGAAGATTCAAACAAACAATACTGAATGAATATAAGAAGAAGAGTTTAGAACTGGCTTTGAATAAAGCAGTATAGTCAATCAGTCGCAACGTAGAACTTCGTACGTACGTACATCAGTTCGAGTTGTCATACCACATTAGCACAAAGATGCAGTTGTCGATATAACAACCAGATAGTATGGTAGTGTCAAATAATCTACTGACTAATGACTAACTGGATAAAATAAAAATCCTATCGAATCGAAATGAATCGACTTTACTTGAAGACTGTAGAGTTCTAAAAATGATTATTTCTCCCTATTAGAAAGAAAATCTCACTACATACACTTTGTACAGTCGTTTTAAGTTCTGAATATGCAATAAGTAGGACCAAACTATACAAACAAAAATATATACAATAATGCAGAAAACAACTTCGGTATAAAAATATACTGAGTTAATATGTCACACTTCAAAGCGGAAGAATAACAAAAAGGAGATATATTAAAATAAACAATGAAAATACAAATAAACAGAAGATTGGTATAAAGTAACTGAGCTTAAGCAATGAATGTATCAATTTTAGGATGATCTATCTTTAATCACATTATTCAGGATATCGAAACAATCTGAATTGTGATACTTAAGGAAGAAGTGAAACCTAACTCGATATTTCAAAAAGTTGTAATAACATTGAACTAGTTCTAACGAAATAGAATACATGCCCGTGAAATTGTAGAGCATCCATTTGTCAGTATTTAATTTGTTGTATAAAGCGTTTCCTGGCAATCCTCAGTTCATTTAGTGGGTGTGTTGTCTATAAGAGCATAATTTTCACTGAGAATTCCTTTTATAGCTTCAAGTTCCATTTTATTTTTTTTCATCAGATAAGTTGGGATGCGCTACGGTGGTGTGTTCATAGAAGGGGTATTTAGATAGCTTTAGATGCCCCTCTTAATATGCAACACACGCCCGCTAAATAAAAGGAAAAATACTTGAAAATGCTACATACTTTAAGTTTATTAAATTATTAACAAGAATGATTACCCTTACACATTCTAACGAATGATATTAATATTCTCTACGACATGAGTCAAACACACTAAACACAGGATGATTAAGTCACACAAGTCAATCAAAATCAGGGAAGTAGATTTTCGGGTATAATAAACTAGTTACAAGGAACACAGAACCTGCCATATATCTGCATCAGTTCAAGTTATCACATAATATCAGCAAAGAGAAATGAAATTTATTAAAACAAACATCAGTGTAGTAGAAGCAGTAACGATATCAGCAGTAATAGGAAACAGGGGGATAGATATTATGATTCGAGAAGAATGAATGAGTAAAATAAAAAGTACATGACGAAGGAAAGTTGAAGAGTGAATATATCAGCGCCAGTACACCCGATTCTGAGCAAAATCACTGAACATTACTAACCTTCAGTTACACTAATCAAGCGCATTCTAACCAGAGAGTTCATATTTGCTAACACAGCTCAACCAAGCAGTCAATGACTTCATGGACTGATGCTACGTTTTGTTTTGACAGCCCCTATCTTTCTATTTACACTAGAAAACATTGTATCGAGGTAGGAGATGGTCAGGTGTACGTAATATACGTCCCAACTGCCTAAGTCGATGAAGAATAATTACATCAATCGATTTTCCACCTTTCATTAACACCCTACCCCTAAACTCAGAGTTGCTGGCTCAATGCAACACTTCCAAAACATTGATAATCAAAGAGTGTTTACGTACAATGATTGGTATGTCAATCATGAGATTCCTGATTTTCAACATAATGCATATAAAGTATACTACAGACTGACAGTAGCTTAGAAGTCTAGGCACTTGAGTCAGTCATCGGGTCAAACGCATTTCACCTGAATAATCATCGTAAGATTTAGCAATAGCAAATGTAACCTACCGCCAGTCTTGTACTTATACGCAATTTGCTAATGGGTTTAGTCCAAACTTCCTTAAATAGTGTCTGACCTTTAACCTGTTAACGATTCCCAACCCCAAAATTTCTACAATTATCCATTTCAATTCAAAATTTGAATATTATGAAATTAACCAGAGTTTCAGTATCAATGATTTTTTTTAAAAAAAGAACACTATTTACATTCAATGAATTTGTTGCCAAAAATTGAAATAACTTAAAAATGAGATGAAAAAAAAGCATTAACCAAGTACAACGGAATAAATCAGACTTAGATTAAAGATGTTTCTGAAACATTGAAAGTAGTTTGGGTCATAACACTAGAGACTTTCATCACTCTAACAAATCCTTCTACATAATACAGCAACTGATTTCATTAGGATGATAGTAAATCTTTGTATGATACAAAAATACAACCTCTATATTACTTTTATTCTAAATAGGATGTTTTAGAATGTCTGGTTAGTGATGTATACGATCATCAAACAACTCGATAGATTCAATCGGATTAGGGGTGATTTTTGAAAAAAAGTTTATGTGTAAATGGTAAAAGTGATTGGAAATATGTACTACCAATAAAAATCCTTCTACTACGAAAACAGATTTTTGAGGCTGTTGAGTTCTTTGAACTGGATGATTTATTTGAGGAGCTTTTATTGATATTCTAGACAACATCTTCAAAGCCTACTGCATGTGGAAGTGAGCTTCCTAATTAATCAACAAGTGTTGTATCAGTTCATTCCAATGTTGTTTGTAATTGGCCTTTACATTCACCCTAAATCCCTGTTGATCTCGGTCCATGAATTAGGTCTGTTTCAATGCCTCTACTGATTGTTAACTGATTGAATGCCATGCTTCTAAAAATTTTCTGGCATTCTTGGAGTTTTCTTGACCTAACATTTCGACGTTTCATCAATTAATTCCGTGTCCATGGTTGTCTGCATATATTGTTAGCAATCCAATGATAGTTCCCAATTCAACACCACACAAAGCATTCACTTGAGCTACGAATTCTTTCCATAATTTTAAAAAAATTTGGGATAAACATTTCATAAATAGTAATAAGAACCAAAAAAAAAGTATATAAAGAGTAGCCGACTTACCAAAATGTGTCGTATCTACACTCATTTCCTCAAATATATTTTTCTAGGTGCTTTAGTTAGAATTAAATTGAATACAATTTAGTTTTATCAAAATAACTGGAAAATTCTTAAGTCTGCCTTGTTCCGAAATAATTTCTATAATTTTTCGTTCATAGCATGAGTACGTAGTAAGTATTACGTACAACAACAGGTTAGAATCAATGATAACGATATTGCTGTAGTTAATATCAATGTTTCCATCCTGCTATATGCACACTGTACGCGTCTCCCTTTCGTTTTGATCGATTTCAAAAAATAAATCAGTCTGACGCATTCTTCACGCAATATAAAATTTATACCAGCCACGTGGAAAGGATTGGCCAGCCAAAAAATGACTATGACGTGTAGACAAATAAGAGTGTGAGAGTCACATGTGCTGACCTGTCTATTGGCCGAAAGATACCACTAGAACGAATGAGTATGTGTGTGTGAGCGAGAAAGAGAACGGTTTAACCTGAAGACTAGAAAATCTACTTCATATGGCAAACGTACATTGCTTTCAGAAACTAGTATAGTAATATATAAATATACAAGCACGTGTCTGTTAATAATCCATCTTTTTACAGAAAGCATCATCCCCCCCTGTAGTGTATAAACATGCTTACATAGAGTGTGGCGAACACGGGAAAGGCGGAGCATTGGCACCGAACATGGCAAACTGTTATTTTTCTATCTTTCTCTCTTTATCACTGATGCATGTATACACAAGACTTTAACACACAGACATGATTTTTGTCTTTTTTTTTCTGGTTAACAGTATTACTAATCTAATCGTGTTACGGACACGTAAAATAATCCAGTGTGACTGGTAGTGTGTCCATAACATAAAAACTGTTTTGACGTCAATGTCTGCTACCCCCTAATTTTCTTCTGACTATTGTGCAAGCAGATTAGATTGATTTTCAATCAATTCCGAAGATACATAGTTGTAATGAAAGTTGTTAATCAATACGTGACTATTATTTCCGTGGCCCTAGACGTATGGAGGCTCAAAAACTCTACATGATCTAAGGTCAAATTTTTCCTGTAGTCTACATCACTTATTGACTTTAGCTAGAAAGTCACTGACACTTAAGAAGCAATAAACAGATGTTTCGTCCTAATATGGTACTGCTCATCATCCAATGTCTCCTCAGGGGTCGAACCAAAAATCTTTAGTCAGCAGTATAAACCATAAATTCAATAATTGCGAGAAACTTTCTCTAATACTGTTAAGAAGTTTTATTGAATTGTGGTTAAATTGAAAACAGTTCACTACACATCGTCACATTCTGAAACTCCTTAAAGAAATTCATGCCTAACTTCCACACGACACCTAACATACGATTTGCAAACTATATGAAATCCTCCTATGTTTTCAATCGAAAATTTCATTTCGACGAAAAACGTCATCCTCATATAATGATTAGGCATATAAGATAACCTGAATCAGTAAAACTTTTTAACTTAGAATAACAAGCGTAGCAAAATGAGTTCATTTATATCGTAGGTTTCTCACCATCTGTTTACAGCCTAGAAAGAATAGTAATTATTTACAATTAATATACATACTTCACATCATATTTGATGAACATTAATGGAATAGCCACAACACGTATGGAAGGATTATAAAATATTAAAGTGGATGATTATATTCACTCGTTAACAGATGAAAAATTCAAAAATAACAATTCTTAAAATAGTTGAATTCATTAGTCGATGTAAGCTAGACCACCACTAAAAACCTAGAAGTACTGTGAGCCGTTTCGTCCTGGCACGGGAATCCTCAACAGTACATATCCACGCGGAACTTGAAGCCAGGACCTTCGGTCTCGCGTACAAACACTTAACCTCTAGACCACGGAGCCGAAATTCAACTGTGTTAATGTCTAACTTCAATGAATGCATGATCTTGAACAACTATTCATCCATTGTCTGAGGTCGATATCTGCGCACTGTTGAAGAGTTTCATACCAAGTCGAAACGGCCGTCTAATGCTTTCAGGTTTTCAATAGTAGTCTAGCTTACATCGGCCCATGAATTCAACTATTGAAAGTACTACAATCTCCACAATTTTCCACTCTAATAATTCTTAAAATAATTAGATTCTGGATATACGTTACTTACCAACCATTACATGATTATGAGTTAAATTTGTTATTTAAGGTTGCTCTATATTTGATAAAAATTGCAATTAAATTGAGAGTCTTATCTCAACTGAAGAGTTAATGAAATGAACTATTAACTAGATCTTGAAAGTAATACGCTCTAATGTGTGGAATTAATGTCCTCCCCGAAAAAAGATCGAAGGCGTACAAGTTCGAAGAGATTTAAAACAAAACGAAACAAATATTTAATACTGTTCAACGAATAACGTTAATGAATCCAAAACTACACGTTTTTGAAAATACCAACCCTAAATGGTGCCTTACGTTTAGTCTTTCATAAAACCAGGCAATAAACTCTTTAAAGAGAATCACTTTCTCTTATTGACAAACTAAGGATTAAAATCTAATTAAATGGATGGATCTAACAAACTACACATTTACTTTAAAAATGGAACAATTTTAAGTTCCACTTGTTTTTAGTCAAGGTTACCGAAGGAAAATTGATAACTGTAATGCGATTTATGGTTCCCATTGCTAGTCACAATCTATCTGTGAAGATTGACTATATTGGAGCAATCCGTACAGGATGTGTATATATCAATAAACTATTACTGATAATGAAATAAAATATGATGATTAATACAATATACAAAGGTTGCCTTTTGTTATATCTAGAGCCTTGATTCTTAATATGCCGCGAACTACTCGTCTACTTGAACGATAGAACCCGCAACGTCGCAAAAGAGAGAAGACAAAGACTGGTAAGTAGGGAGTTTATTCCCCAAATCAGTGTCAAAATATAGCACAGAAATCTCGTGTATTTATAGATTTTTGGCTGAATGTAAATCATCATTTAGGTCAACCAATAGACACATAGGGGTCATGCTAATCCATCCAATGGGGAAGCTACACGTCGACATTCTAGAACATTCCCTTAGCAGTGATTGGATGGAATGTCTGTGGCTCTTCCTGGGCTTCTTAAGGCTTCCTAGAGTCTACCGATGGGCCGTCCTTACACCTTTTTAGACCATTTACTAAGTTCTTTGTCTTCCTCTAAACCTGAATCTTACCACAATTTCACGTATTTCATTCCTCAATGGTATATATTCCATTCGAATCGTATTTTTCATATTTAATTCACCATTATATTCTGCATTTTCATTTTGATAATTACCCCTTTCATTGTCTTGATCCATAGTGTGACAACCTGAACAGAGACAAGATCCAAGAATATACAAAGCATAAATCAATCACAATTCTAAGTAGACCTTAATTCTCTGACCTAATTTTTAGTACATAAAACGGAACAAGATAGAGGAATCTTCTGATTTCATTGATGAATATACTATCTTGTCAACAATCTACACCAAATTATATTTTTGAAACTTGCAGACCAATACAGTAAGAGATACCGAATTTAGGTATATATTCCAAATGTGGGTGGACAATCACATTATTTTAGAAAAGAATATATTCGAAGTTAAAAAGTCATCGATATGAATTAATAAATACTGTACAGACCCTATACATATCCATGAAATTATATCTGTGTGTATCTGTAAGAACTCCATTAGTTGAAACTCAAATAGTTCCAACCTTTTATCCGGTCAGTTGATTCAAACTTCTTTATATAATTAGTCAAAATCATCAAAGTTGAATCTGTTCGAATCTTTTTTCTATATTTGAATATTATTAATTTTGAAATGTAAATTATTTAGTCATAATCAATACGAAGACTGATGTAAATATGCATTGGTTCAAGCTACCAAACCACATTAGCAATATCAGATGAATAACGAAAGGACTAAAACAATCTAATGGAACGATAATCGGAACATCTGGACATCGGTAACATAGTTTGAAAAAACAGAGTGGAAAGTATTTATGGAGGAGTACTGGATCTCAAGTTATAGAAGAGGATAAAGAGTGGATAGATCTGTGCTACGTCAGCCGATTCTGAACCATGTCATCCAACGTCTTAAAACACTGATCATGGTCATTGAGTAAACTGTAAACAGGTATTCTGGATCTACCAATATGAGTTCAGATCCACAACCAATGACTTCATGAATTGATGCCACATTTTGGTTTGGCTGCCTCTAGTTTTCCTCTGATCTAATCATAAAACAACCAATATCGCCCGTCGAGGTAGACAGTGGTCTGATATGTACAATACATGTTCCAGCCTTCTGATGCCATGAAGATTTGCTACCTCGTCAACTGATTTATCATTTACTCTATCCCAGACCACAATATTACATACTCGGTTTTCCCAGTATAAATGAGTGACACTTCAAACACACGATCAAAATCATGCAGTTTACGTTTGTCTCCTATTTTTGAAGTCTATCTTTCGAAGACTTGAAGTAGAACAGAGGAAACTGCTAATCAGTAAACTTGTCCTTTGTTTGGAAAACTGACTTCTCGCTTAAGCCACAAGTCAAAAGTATTGGCAAAATCCGCCACGATATTTCGTCAGATACCTACCCGTTAAGCTGACGACACTTCCAAGAAAAGTAACTTTTTGATTCCTATTTCTTTGATGAATCTAAATGGGTGACTACTATTGTGTTGTGGGCTACTTATATCCACACAACTAGTATATAACGGGGGTCGGGCATTGAATGTATTTCAGTAGAAGATCGATAAGGAGAGAAAGGGAACGGGACGCAATCAGTATGAAAATGCATGAACAATAATAATCGGGGACTATGGACTGATATTTGCAGCATAAATGGTCAAAATTGAGACAATTAATTGATAGTTTGCAAATTAACTGTTTACTGTATGGTGAATTAGTCTGTAATTTTCATGTCTAATACTTTCGATTGACCCCACTCGTGTTCTCTGTTCACTATAGTACTACTTATTTACGTTGGCCCATCCATCTCTTTCGCTTTCGCTGCCCACCCCTGCTCTCAATCGATGCATAAACCTTTTATTAGTTTACATTTAAGTTTCCAGCCCTTTCCACTGTTCTACGAGCTCTACTAAGATAAGCTTTAGACGATCATATAAAATTAGTCGATCCCATTGAGTTCAACTGATCACTCTTAACTTTCTAGATTTTAGTTGTCGTCAAATATTAATGCTACATTTACCGCTATTTGTATATAATGCCAGGTTTCTTCAAGATTAAGTTCTTCACTATAGTCAACTAGGTACCTAGTTAACTTATCTTCAGATCCGTCTATGACCTTTTGATTTTCACATTAGTATTTGAGACCCTTTCTTTTATGACTTTTCTACATCCAGTAAAGCACCTAAAAATGAGTGCTCTCCTTTAGGTATGATCTGAGCCTAAGTATTTGCCTCAGAAAAAGTAACAGTCTTCTATAGAGTCATTCCAACGATAGTTTATGGTAACATGATAAATCATTGAGTTCTCATTAGAGGTCCCAAGGTAAT